ATTTACTTGTATACCTTAAAAGCTGCCCTGTATAAAATTGTGTTTTTGCTTGGGGGGTTTTCAGCTAAATATTATTACGTATTCCACAGCTATTTCTGAGTACAATGAATTAGCTCGGAGAAAAAAAAAGCAACTGGTCCAGTCTCGAAAGAAAGGTGCTCGTAATAAGTCTTTGGAGTATGAAGATCAAGTTATGGTAACGGTGTATTCATGTTGTGATAAGTGACTGTTACAACAGTATTCCTCTTGATCATAGATACCAATTGGTAGGATGTACCACTGTTATAAAAGAAAGAAATGGGTTCTTGATGGACAGTATGTGACGCAAAGCCTGGTTTTTAGAAAGGACATGAATTACCGGAGAATTTTAGAAACGTGTGTATCAGTTGTCTTCCCTGATGATGATCTAGAATCCAGTGAATGCGAATATTATATTGCCAATGGTAGGGGTATGAGTATTCATAGTGGCGATTTTATTCAAATCAACAATGATGACGGTGAAGAAGAGTGCATTCCGTGGACCCTGGAAGCATACATTCGATTGTCGAGTATTAGATATGCCTCTAAGGCTAGACTATATTGTGTCAAGAAGTTTATTGAAGGTACATGTAAGAACATACTAAGAGATTTAAAAAGTTATTAAGAGTACCTTTATACATAAAAGATGTGGAGAACCAAAAAGTGTCTGTGGTGGCTCCCACACCAGATGAATCCATGGCGTATCTGGGCCACCAAGAAGTTTCTAGACCCACTCAGCGGGCATGTGCGGAAAGAGAAGAACAGGAGCAGCAGAAATCCCTTAGTAATAGCTATATAATTATATGGAGTTATATAGTGTTATTAATTTTTGCAATCCTATGCCAATCTTTATTCTGCAGCATTTTCAGCCACTCTTTGCCTACTTTAAGCAAAGCAGATATGCTGATAAGTTTGTAATGGTCACAGACCTTTCACAGATGGCTGCTTCTGGGGCGTGAGTTAGGGTGCAGTGAGATGATGAAGATTTCTGTGAAAGTTACTGTCTTATTCACCCTCAAATCCTTGCCACTATGATCTATGGCTTGTTGGAATAGAAGACAGTACTTTACATTATGCCAAAAGCTGTGTAAGTTTAATATTTCTCATGTTACAGTGAACACTAGAATGAAAGTGCTGGATTTGGTAGAGGACTATAACCTGGAAGATGAAAAAGTTATTTACAGGACCCCAGTCAGAGGTAAATAATTCTTTTCAATATTTCAGCCTTTCACACTTGCAGATTCTCAGCTTCGGATCTGGACTGCAGCTAGGTTTCTCAAGGATGATTATGTGGCTCTGTTGATGTGTGTAGCAGTTGATGGGTATCACTCATTGACATCTTACCAGTGGCGTAAAGATGGAGAGAATATCTTAATGAGATCTACCCCTTATTTTATGCCACTACTATTGGGAGTTATGATTGTTTTGTTAGTGCAATGGTCCCAAAACAGCAAAGTGTTCTTTTGAAGTAAAAGGGTGTGATATAGTTGGTGCACTAAGGTGGCATATTGCAATGTCATTGTGATTTAGGGGAGCACCAAATCAGAGTTTGCAGCGCAAGAAATAAAAAGTGATATAAAGGATATGTTGCTACTCAGGTTTGTTTTGGTGGTCTTACACTTCCCTGCCTATACTGTACTCTATTCCTGCATGAATGCTCTTCTGTCCTACAGGAGCATACTACCAGATGACTGTCAAAGTAGTTTGGTGATATCTTTGTCACTAGTACGGTAGTACTTAGTATATAGGGATTGACATGGTACCTAGCATCATAGATGTATGGGCAATGAGAGGGAGTGTCATCATCATCACTGCTTCTCTTCTTCTTCGTCTTCAACCAGCATAAACCCAAAACCCGAACGAGATAAAGCCTATAAAAATTTTGTAGGAATGTACATATCGATAACCCACATGTGCAACGTCATACTTTTGTGGAACAGATGTTGTTACGTAAACACCAACAACTGGCCAGGCCAACGAGATGATAATGGCAAATACGTTCTATTGGGCATACTCACATGTGCAGGTACTACTCACACTTGGTACAGCGCTGTGAACGCAACTTTGTAGCCAGAATGTATTCATCACCACACATAACACACTCACAAACAACACATGTTGTACAACAACACAAATAGCTCAGGCACTTTTCTTAAATCACTCTCACATCTCAAAACTTCCCATGGTAGCCCGCATAGAGCTGCACACTTAGTACATATGCCTATAATATCATGTTCCATGACGATTACATGTCCATGACGACCGCATATGTTAGAAAAGGCCTCAGGCACATTTCTTTACAACACTCTTCACATCTCAACTTGCTAACTGTAGCACGCATGGAGGTTGGCGTGCATGTGTCTTACATCACTTCTACTGCTCATATAACTGCTCCTTCTACTGCCGCTTCTTAACTGCTCATGTTACGCATGCTACTGCTCATTCTAACTGCTCATCTACTGCTCACTTCTTCTGCTCATCTGTGCAGTCTAACTGCTTCATTCTAAACTTGCGTCAAATTCTACTGCCGATTCTACTGCTCATTCTACTGCTGTCTTCTACTGGCCCATTCTACTGCAAGTCTACTCTCATCTTCTGGCAGTCGAGAGGAGCAGTAGAATGAGCAGTATAATGAGCAGTAGAATGAGTAGTAGACTGGCAGTAGAATGAGCAGTAGAATGAGCAGTAGAATGAGCAGTAGAATGAGCAGTAGAATGAGCAGTAGAATGGCAGTAGAATGAGCAGAAGCATGAGGAGTAGAATGCCAGTAGAATGTCAGTAGAATGAGCGGTAGAATGAGCAGTAGAATGCTGATTATACTGCTCCTTCTACTGCCATTCTACTGGTATTCTACTGCTCATTCTACCGCTCATTCTACTGCCATTCTACTGCTCATTCTACTGCTCATTCTACTGCTCATTCTACTGCCATTCTACTGCTCCTTAGTAGAATGGCAGTAGAATGAGCAGTTATGAACAGTATTTCACATTCTACTGCTCATTATACTGCTCCTTCACTGCCCTTCTACTGCTCATTTTACTGCCATTCTCTGCTCATTCTACTGCTCATTCTTCTGCTCATTCTAGTGCCATTCTACTGCTCATTCTACTGCCTCTTCTCTGCCATTCTACTGCTCCTTCTACTCTCCTTCTACTGCCATTCTACTGCAGGTCTACTCCTCATTCTTCTGGCAGTAGAATGGCAGTAAATGAGCAGGACAATGAGGAGTAGAATGCCAGTAGAATGGCAGTAGAAGGGAGCAGTAGAATGAGCAGTAGAGGCAGTAGAATGAGTAGAAGAATGAGGAGTAGAAATGCAGTAGAATGGTGACATCGCCATGACCGCGCAAAGCTACGGAAGCCCATAGGGGTCATCCATTGCAATTGACAACTTTGGCAACTCCATCCTATTACCGGTTATTCCATTTTATCTCTTCCATTCTACGGACTTCTTCCATTCTACAACATAATGCCCAGATGGATTCCCACTCAATGATCAGGTGTAACCTCGACCTTGGTGCTGGCCCATGAACCAGTTTTTTCAAAAGTCCCAAAACAATGCCTGTTGTTGACACTGCGCCAGGTCGAAATACTTTCAACTGGTCTGCAGGTACTAAGTGTTGCCTGCCTGGCAAACCATACGGGTTTGGTTGATAATACCGGGTTACTGGAAAGCATCAGCATGACACCCTTAGCTACAACTTCTAACATAATACCCATTTTATACTTGTGCGATATATACTATATTACTACTGAAGCTTTCACTTACAGTGTTAATTTGCCCCATACTGCTAGCACGTACAAATACACCATCTAATCTAACGACATTAACCTCATTCTAAGACTGTGCGATGCGGTTGTGCCTTCCTTCATATTAAAAATGTTGAACCTGCTATATAAAAATATAGAATATGGATATACACTGTCTAAACATGGACCGAGATCTGTTGGGCTGGTTGCAGTAATGTAACGTCGAGGTTATGCTTTCTTTCTTATTACGCTAACAATTTCCGACTTAGTGCATGCCATGAAGGTGCAGCTAAGTCATTGTCTGTAGAATGTAAGAGTCCTGTAGAATGGAAGTGATACAATTGAAGTGTAAGGGAGGATTTCCCATTTCAGAAGTGTATGCGACAAAGTATCCAAGTACCTGTAGATATGAAACAAAAATATTAAGTGCACTGTACCCATTAGAAGGGACTAAGGCGACCACTTTATGTCCAAGAATACCATCACTAGTCCCTAGTCTAGTAGTAAGGATAGGGGCTTCTTGGGACAAGTGATGGCAATCTTGGACAACACTGCAGGCAAGGGGACTAGTGAAGTTACCTGGGCTACAGCATGCTTAAACTTTGGATGCTGTGTAGTTTTTGTTTCGATCAACACAGCCACCACCTCGTCATGGGACTCCTTCCTCACTGTGTACACAATGTAATCACATTTGCTATCAGGAGTCACAGCCTCTGCTGTGCTATGACCAGGAGTGGGTGGTGTTGGTAGTGGCAGGGCACCACCCTTGATCGGAGTCACAGCCTCTGCTGTGCTACGACCAGGAGTGGGTGGTGTTGGTGGTGACGGGGTACCCTTGATCAGTGTATGCTGCTCGGCCTGTGTAGGCTCGGCCTCTTTTCTGGAGTGTTTTACAGTCTCCTCCAGTTTTAACCTACAATAGTATATGACAATACAACATTCTACTGCTCATTCTACTGCTCCTTCTACTGCCATTCTACTCCTCGAAACAAGTTAAGGGTCGTACTCTGATTCCTGCTATTGCAAAATGTGAAAGTGAAACTTGGATGAATCTGAGTATGCTCAGGAGGAGCATAGAGAATGAAGCAGAACTACGTTTTGCATTAGCTGACCCCATCCTGAGGCTCTTTTGCTCATTTTGGAACCTTACGGTATGTGGGTGGGGGAATGGAAATGGCCAAAATTGTCAATTGCAATGGATGACCTCAATGGGCTTCCGTACATGCTTACTTGCTGCGTCAGTTAGACACACCATCGTAACTTATCAACCACCAGTGGATAAGTTGTTTTTTCCTATAACAGTCATTGCATGTACTGATAGTACCAACCCAATTTCATTCATTGCAATTCTCTGAAATGTTTGAACAAGAAACTGTGTGTATACAGAACTTGTACAATAACAAAAAACCAAATGAGTGTGTAGGGTAGTACACCATAACCCTATTGTCCTACCAAAGGCTTTGGTTCTAAAATCCCTCTCACATAGTTAGTCAGGCACAACTCCATTACTGATTCTCCTTCACTTATTTCAAGTTTGAGTATACATAATATCGAACCACATAGCTTGTCAATTAGAAGTCCTTTAACTTCATATTTCGAATCAATAGCCTTGCCTTTTTGAATTCTTTTTAGAAGTTTACTTACTAGAAAAATGTGCAAACCTCCAAACACTTCTCCTACTTTTTCAGGCAGCTCAAAAATGGATGCGCCTTGCATCGGGGGACGTTGATGTAAGTTCTCTATTAACTCATCCTCACTGCTTGAGTCGTTTGATGTACTTCCAGAGATGCCAAGGTTTGCCAAATGTTTGTTTCCAATTACGATGTCTGGAGAACCACGAAATAGAAAATAATTTGCTGCTCCAATCTCTTTTACACCAAGACGGGTCAGCAAATATTTATATAACCCACTGAGTCCCATATTCAAACGTGTATGTTACGTTATGATTGGGAAGCATCTTTTGAAGTCCAGTCACCAATCTTTTAGTCCAATCATTCTCACTCCAATTGTAAACAATTTGACCTGAGCATTCAAATGGTGTGTTTTTGTCTCTTTTTTTACCATCCACAATCTCCTGCAACTCGACAATGTCCGACTTGATCCCATGGTCTTTTGGTGCTGAACGATGCTTATAATCTTTCAATACTTCCTCATTGTCCTTGAAGAAAGGCAGCAAAGAATAGTGATGCAACTTGTCCGCGCACTTTTC